GGAGTTACTATGTAAACTGTAACAAAGCCGCAGTATATATCACAGAAGAACATCTTATTTTGGTAGTAAGGGTCATTATAAATTCAGTGCTGAAGATAAAAATGAAACACCTTTAAATGTACAATGCCGGTGTTGGCTTCCCTTTGATAGCATTTCTCAATGTTGCCTAATGTTTTCTAGTATTTCGTATCTTTGGCTTGTTGCTGGCTAGCGTGAATTGACTAAGGTCGCATTGTGTAGCCAGGTGTTGTCTGCTAATGGCATTGGTGGCTGTTGTTTCGCACGAACCATTTTTTCCCTAAGAAAAAAAGAATTTACGAATTATCGCACAAATATTCATCAACGACAGCATAACTGGTGGCTATCTTTGAAGTGGTTAAGCTTATCTGCGAGAATTTCGAGTCACAAAAGTGGGCGATCTGCACGGATAGCAAACCTACCCTTCAGCTAATCAAGAATGCGAGATCACTTTACAAAATGGCGAAATAGCACAATGTATTGCAGAAACTGTGTAATATGCCTATGCACAGGGTCACAACATCGTATTTCAATGAATTGATTGATTGATACGTGGGGTTTAACGTCCCAAAACCACCATATGATTATGAGAGACGCCGTAGCAGAGGGCTCCGGAAATTTAGACCAGTATTCAAATGGGTATTCGGTCACATTCGAAAAGAGGGAAATGAAGAGGGAGACAGCCTCACCAAGAAAGCGTTGAACGAAGGACGAGATTGAGCAATCCCTATGTCTGTGGCGGATATTCGACATTTTATAACGCAAGGAGCTAGCCATTGTTCGATGGAGAAGTGGTTTGATAGCCATAAATCTAATGAATGAGTGCTTTATGAAGTTGATCCGCACATAAAATTTTTCATAGCAACAGATTCTCCACGACACCTATAGACAATAATCCGCAAACTTCGACTGGAAGTAGCATAAACAAACAGCTTCCTGCACAAAATACATCCATCCAACTTCCAGGAATGCCATCGCAGTCATGCAGAAGATAATTTTCGCCTTTTTTTTTCGAGTGCGTCAAATACGCGAATGAAAGAGAAAATTAAGGAACAAACTAGCAAGTTTGGACAGATAGCCCCTCAAATTATAGAAATTATTCGAACCATATCTTCATAAAAAGTCGAATATATTCCTGGCAGACTCTTTAGTGAAGACCAGGCTGGATAAGGGCCTGTGATAGACAGCCAGGAGGTTGACTTATATGAAATAGTGTGTTAGTGCATATATTGACAATTGAAAAGAAGGTGTGCATGTGAACATTTTATGACAATGTGAACTGCTGCAATCAAACTGTTCATTGACATGATATTTCAAGTGCTTTCAGTGTGCTAATAAGTTTTTATTGCTCTTTTTGAGTACCGTTCAGTATTATTTTATTTTTTGTTCCCTGCAGAACTTAGTAATATGGAGCGCTGCAGAACCTCAACAATCTCCACAGCAAAACAGAACAGAACAGAACGGAACAAGAATGAAATCAGTGGGAAACAACCTAATGGCTCGTTTTTCCTTGTTAGACTGAATAATGATGAGAACTAACAGACAGCACTGCAAATGAAAGCATAGGACATGTGTATATCTCCTATACCTTTCCTGGCAGTGTTGTGCGTTAGTTACCATTCAATTTCTGTATAATCTGTTCCTCTGCCCATCTTCACCCTTCATCAGTTCTTTTCTTTTTTCTTTCCTTCTTCCTCTGTGCAGAGAAGCAGGCGAGAGCAAACTAGCTCATACTGACCTCTCTGCTTCTAACAAATCATCTCCATCTCTCTTTTGCGCGCATCAGTGTGTACAAAAACTGTCATTATGGTGAACGGGTGTACATGCCACAGAAATAAAACGAATCTCACGACTCGACGCCGGTTCGCTAAAAATGAAGAAGACAGAGCGTGAAAACATGGACCTAAGGAGGCAGTCATTGCGTAGGAGTAAATTGATAATGATTTACAAGATGTATGTGCGGCCTATTATGGAATTCGAGTGTGTATTATTTTCAGGCAGCGCGGCTTACAAGATGAGAAAATTAATATTATTAGAAAGAGAAGCTTTGCGCTTGTGTCTTGGACTCCCCAAATTTGTGGCAAATAATGTTTTGTATGTGGAAGCGCGCCTTCCACCTTTGTTAACTTGGTTTAGAATACTTACAGTTCAAACTTTCTTAAAAATATACAATTCGCCTCTGCGACAAGCTTCATACGTTTTTATTCAAGAACCAACCGCATTCTTTGGAACACAATGGTTTAGACTACACTTCTCTCAGATTAGGTTTGTCCAAGCGTTGCTAGAGCCTCTCAATGTAAATATTTAACAGATTGGCATAATGAAGACACCTAAATCAAAATTTGAAATTAAATTTGATTATATTTTCTCCTCTAATGCGACACAACTGCCCCTTCAATATTTAAATACTCGGTTAAAAGATTACTTTACTCATCTGTCCATAAACAACATTATTGCGACGTATGCATCCGTATTGAACGAAAAGGCTGGAATAGGCATCTTTTGTACTTCTATCGACTGGTCTTTCTCAGTTCGATTACCAGATTACACGCCTATATTTATCGCTGAATTATTTGCTATAATTCTAGCACTTCGTAAACTTCCTGCAAGCGAATCAGAAGCGGTCATACTTACCAATTCTCTCTCAGTATGCACTGCACTATCTACAGCAAAAAATTTGACATTATTGAGTGTGATTAGCAGTTTATTACCAGAAAACCTGAAAAAATTTCACTTGCTATGGATACCTGGCCACTGCGGGATTTATCCAAATGAAATGGCAGACTCGTTAGCCAAAGAATCTTTAAGCGGACCACTCTTACCTATTTTACCTGATTTCGCCTACGTAACAGCACTCAGATATAGAAATTCTTGTTTGCACAAAGAAATAGAAAAATTATCATTGGATAAAGTCAGAGACTTCGTACATCTAAGATACTGCTGGAACAAACAGTGGTGTGTATCTCGGCAGTTAGAAATTACAATCACCAGATTACGATGCAGAATTCCGCATCTAAATTACTACCTACATAAAGCTGGACTAACAGCATCTCCGTTGTGTCTCTTTTGCAAGGAATCAGAATCAATAGATCATTTCTTTTTATCCTGTCAACGTTATGCTTATCAAAGGAAAAGATACCTGGTCGAACCAATTGAGAAGCTAGGTTTAAAAATAAACGTGGAACTAATTTTATCCTTCGGAAGGATTAGATTAGGTTATAGCCACAGGGAAGTTTTCTCTGCTGTGTGCGAGTACATAAGGGCAACAAAGAGATTACCCTGCTAGCCTATTGTTATTATCTACGGCTACGAGACTACCTGAATGCCTGACTTAGCACACTTGATGATCCTGCCGCCCGGTTCTTGGCCGATCCCCCTTCGTGGGCGAGTGCCAGAAAAGCTGAAGGTTCATCATCATCATCATCATCATCATCATCATCATCATCATCAGTCAGGACATCACAAACGCCTATTACGCGCACCAGCCCCGCCACGGTGGTCTAGTGGCTAAGGTACTCGGCTGCTGACCCGCAGCTCGTGGGATCGAATCCCGGCTGTGGCGGCTCCATTTTCGATGGAGGCATAAACGCTGTTGGCCCGTCTGCTCAGATTTGGGTGAACGTTAAAGAACCCCAGGTGGACAAAATTTTCGGAGTCTTCCACTACGGCGTCTCTCATAATCATATGATGGTTTTGGGGCTTCACACACCACAAATCAATCAATCAATCAATTATGCGCACGATAGAGCAAAAAAAAGACACGAAAGCTTATCAGCGCATTCTCATGGAATATGCGAACAAACTTATCAATCTGGCACGCATTGTTGTCTACGTGAAAGACAACAGTTAAAGAATTTGATTTCATCTTTGTGGAAATTAATTGATGGTAAGCTCACGCATGCGCTGTCACTATGATCGATTTGTTCGCTCACATATTGCATGGACATGCGCAGAGAAGTTTTTGGGTCTTCTTTCTTCTCCGCCATTGTGACCACGTTCATTTGTTAGTAGGCGTTTGTCATGTCCTTACGTCCTTCTGGCACCGTGTTCGCACGCCCTGCCTTTTAGAATGAATATGTACAGGTGCTTCAAAAATAAAAGGGAGCACACGAGTTGTGGCCAAGCTACGCGAATGTGAACGCGAGCACGCTGCATCAGAGAAGTGGCTTTTTATATTTATGTAAAAATGATGGCACTATCGTCTGGCACATTTTGGCATAAATATAAAGAACTGATTCTCTGGTGGAGCGCACTGGCATTTACTTTCGCGTACCTTGACCACAGCTCGCGTGCTCCGTTTTTCGTTCGAAGCACCTTGACCAACTAGCTCCACTATTCGTTATTCTGAAAAACAAAATGACGAAGGCAGTAGGTTGGTGGCAGCTACTCGATCAAGATTTCCAGACAGACATAAGCAGGTAATTGAGAAAAGCTTTAATGAACTTCCGGGATGAACCCAGTCATAAACGCCGTGGCCGCACCTTCCAGCTTCGCCGAAGTATATGGATGGAGTGCTTCAGCGGTACGTTCAAGGAGAGAATACTAAGGGTCGAGAAAGGCAATGATGGCTGCGAGAAGACCCCCGAAGCGATGTAAGGCCTAGGCAAGCGACAAAGTCGCCGTACATTTATACGGGTGCTACAAACGTTCAGTTTCAGCTCGACCTAGTGTCTCTAGAGTTTGGATAGTCGTGTCGTGTTTCTCAATTGTCTTTTGTTTACCTCGAACCTCTCTGAGCTGAGCAGTGTTTAAGAAACACCCAGCATCATTTAAATAAAGCCTAGTAACAACTCAGCATCACCTATTGAAGGCCTATAGCAACATTGTAGAAAGAACCAAACTAGACGTCAGAATCGTCCCGATTCTTGGTGTCATGCTTTGCTTGACGTAGCGCAAGTTTAGCCTTTCTTTTTTATCTTTTTCAAAACTTGTTTATTTGAAGTGCAAGCTTTTCCGTTGACGCCGCCAAACTGCTTACACAGGACCATGCGTGGCGGGCGTGGTCGGGCTGAAGATGCCTCGGTACTGCCTATTCGGAGACACGGTCAACACAGCCTCGCGCATGGAGTCCACAGGAATGGGTGAGTGGCCATGTTCGCAGGAAACGCACAACTGCACACGGACTGCACGAAAGACACGACACAAGAGCTTAACTTCAACTAAGCACTTATTTGAAAAATCAAACACATATAAAGTTGCAAGAACGAACAAACCAAAGAAGAAAAAAAACAAGGTAGCCCACCTGTCACGCCAGCCGTCACGCATTCATTGCTGTCCAAGACACCAGCTAAAAATCGAAGTTCTTTTTGTGTAAATAAAGTAGACTGTGTGCTAATAGAATCAAAATTATTGCGTTTCATTTATGCCGCCTCAACTATCAATCTGGCTAACAAATCGCTATAGCGATGCAAAAGGAATTTGTTACAAAAGTACGGCACGCAACCACAGATCATCGCAGTGGATATTAAGGTGACCTTCCGCAGATTTCGGCACCTTATTACCATGTTATTTTACCCACTCATTGACACAACTTTCACTTTTCCCAGTGTGTATGCGTGGCCACACGACAACGTTGTTCTGTATATAACAGTCTCTCAGTAGCAGAGCTCGGCAATTCCTTTGACCCCATGCGCACACCCATAACACTCCCAAAAACTTCCTTCTGTAGTGGAGCATACGCACCAACGCGTATGCGCCTTCGGAAGAGAACAAAAAGCCCCGTGCTCCGATTGCGCGAGAGCCTGTGCCGCCTTTGCCAGACTTGCCGCACGGCCATTTTTTGTTGCAACCTCGTTGCGACTTCTCTGCTCCAATAAACATCCTCACATTTGGTGGAGGCTGCTGAGATACCCAAGCAGACCTGGAGCTCCGCTCTCGCAAGTTGGCTGAGACCACCGCGAAACATGACTGACGCAGTCGCTAACCCCCCGATCCTAGCCCAGCCAGCACCATCGGCTGCCCCGTCTACCTGCCCCGGCGCTACCCGCCAACGGCACCCACCAATCTTCAGCGGCAGTGGTGAGCAAGACGTCGAAGACTGGCTCTCCTTGTACGAACGCGTAAGTGCCAGCAACAAGTGGGACGACGACTCTAAGCTCGCGTACGTTATCTGTTACTTAGCAGACGTAGCTAAGCTTTGGTATACCAACCGCGAAACCGCGATCGCCAACTAGTCCTCTTTTAAGACCCTTGTGACTGAAGTGTTTGGTCGACCAGAGGTCCGCAAACTCCGCGCTGACCAGCGTCTACGCCCGCGAGCCCAGTAGCCTGGCGAGACGTTTACTAGTTATACTGAGGATGTTCTCGACCTCTGCAGGCGCGTTAACCCTTCTATGCCCGAAGAAGAGAAAATTCGGAAGATTCTCAAGGGCATCGAGGATGGCGCATTCCAGATGTTGCTAGCGAAAAGCCCGACCACGGTGGCAATCCTCGTAAGCATGTGCCAGAGCTTCGATGAATTACGCCGTCAGCGTTCTATCACCCGACAGAGTGTCCCACCACCAGATTCGATCTCGGCCGTCGCACTCTCAAATGCCAACGTTCGCCAGGAAAGTCTGTCCAACCAGATCAAAGACTTCATCACAGAGGAAGTCGCCCAACAGCTCTTCCTGCTGCCGCATAGCGACGCTCCCACCATAAGCCGGCCTTCGACACTTCAGCAGGCCATACGCACAGAAATTTGCGATGTCCTCCCTACAGTGCCAGCCCCTTACCCTTGCGCTTCAGTAGCACCTGATCTCTCAACCGTCGGCTACGCACAACCTGCGCCACCTTCACCTCTCAGCTACGCAGCTGTGGTCGCGCGGCCCCCACGGCATCCAGTCTCCTTATCGGCAACACATCCTCCGGCCTCGCCTCCGGTATACAGGCCCCCACCTCGCCTTTTCCGTTCATCTAATGAGTGGCGCACCCATGACAACCGTCCTATCTGCTTCGCGTGTAGCATCGCTGGCCACGTCGCAGGCTTCTGCCACCGCCGTTCCACACCTGCGTACGCCTCCTTTGGAACGCCTACCTACGCGCCGCAGCAGGCCACCACGTCTGCATATGAACAGAGGCACCCCGACTCGGATCGTCGCCCATTAATCGCTCGTTTCCTATCCCCTCGTCACTGATCCATCACCTATGCATCGTCGACCACCTCCTGAGGAGGGAAACTAATCAGTGCAGTTCCAGAGGCAAGAACTGCAGCTTCAGCGTAATTATCAAGGCCTCCACTTTCGCCGCAAAGTGTTGTTGATGTCGATGTTGAGGTAGATGCCACACTAGCGTTAATTGATACTGGGGCCGCCGTTTCTGTGATGAACGTGAAACTTTGTCGCAAACTGAAGACAGTGACCACATCTCTTCGTGGCATGGTGCTGTCCACGGCTAGCGCGCAACGCATTCATCCCTCGTCTGTGTGTACGGCGCGCGTCATCATCCAAGACGTTTTGTACATCGTCCAATTTTTGTTCTACCATCTTTCTCTCATGACCTCATCCTGGGTTGGGATTTCTTATCACGTCATGAAGCTATCATCGATTGTTCCCGTGCGGAAGTTTCCCTTGTGCCAACGTGTGAATTTCCATCGCCCGACCTCTGCTCTGCATACTCATCGCTGACGACGGCATCGCTTTGCCTCCGGAAGCTTCAGTCCCTATTAGCCTTTCACGTGTAGCGCAACCTGAAGCCACGGTGGTGTTCACGCCATCTCCAGTTTTTACTGAACGCAAGGGCACTGTTCTCTCATTTGCCGTTCTTACAATTGCGTCTCGTTAAACCGTAATGTCGGTTACCAACCACTGCAACTACCCTATTGGCTTACACCGTGGTGAAACCTTGAGATATGTACAACCTGTTGACCATATCGATGATATTATTCTCCCTGACGAAGTCCCATGTCACATTGCCGCAATCGCTCATGCGTCTGAGCCATCAAGTTCGTTAGCCTTTGACAATGCTATTGACGCAGACCTTCTCCCCTCGCATCGCCGCCAACTTGTTGCTCTCCTTAACAAGTTTCGCTCTTCTTTCGACTTTCAGAAACCTGCTTTGGGCCGCACCACGACTGTCACTCATACTATTGACACCGGCTCACATTCGCTTCTGCGACAGCGTCCTTACCGCGTTTCCACCGAAGAGCGCCGCATCATTACGGAGCAAGTAGACGACATGCTTAAACGTGGAGTCATACAGCCTTCTCAAAGTGCTTGGTCATCACCTGTGGTTCTGGTAAAGAAAAAAGATGGCACCGTTTGATTTCGCGTGGACTACCGCCGCTTAAACAAGATTACGAAGAAAGATGCTACCCGCTACCACGAATAGACGATGCTCTTGACTGTTTACAAGGCGCCGAATACTTTACATCATTGTATCTGCGTTCTGGGTATTGGCAGGTGCCAATGGCTGAATGTGATCGCCCTAAAACAGCCTTTGTAACGCTGGATGGCCTATATGAGTTTAAAGTAATGCCATTTGGGCTCTGCAACGCACCTGCGACATTTGAGCGCATGATTGATACCATCTTGCGTACTCACAAGTGGAAAACTTGATTGTGTTACCTGGATGACATCGTAGTCTTTTTAGCTGATTTCCGCACACATCTTGGTCGTCTCCACGAGATTCTGACGTGTCCAACTTCTGCAGGCCTACAACTTAGCACCAATAAGTGCCACTTCGCAGCACGAAAACTAACTATCTAGGCACATGTCATTACAAGAGACGGTGTTCTTCCGGATCCCGATAAGCTTCGAGCTGTCACTGACTTCCCAATGCCCACATCACTGAAGGCCCTAAGAAGTTTCATTGGTCTCTGCTCCTACTTTCGTCGCTTCGTGCGCAACTTCGCGTCCATCATCGCACCTCTGACGAGTCTCCTTTCCAACAGCAAAGGTATATCTGCATGGTCACCTGCATGTGACGACGCATTTCGCCAGCTGCGCCGCCTGCTGACCACACCACCTATTCTTTGCCACTACTACCCCACTGCTGCCACAGAAATTCACACCAATGCAAGTGGCGTTGGTCTTGGTGCAGTTTTGGCACAACGGAAAGGCACCCGAATCGAATACGTAGCCGCTTATGCAAGTCGCGCTCTCAAGAAGGCTGAATTGAATTACTCCGTGGCAGAGAAGGAGTGTTTGGCCATAATCTGGGCGCTAACGAAGTTTCGCCCGTACCTTTACGGCCGTCCTTTCGACGTGGTCACAGACCACCACACTCTATGTTTGCGTGGTGGTCTGTGAAAGACCACCACGCTTGAAAGACCCGTCCAGACGCCTGGGGCGTTGGGCACTTCGATTGCAGGAATACGACATCCGTGTCATATATCGTTCCGGTAGCAAGCATGCGGATGCCGATGCACTTTCCCGATCGCCATTAACACCAGATGTGGCTTCTCTGTCACCCCTTTTTACCACCTTGTCACCACTTGACACCACTGACATGCTTTCGGAGCAGCGTAAAGACCCATACATTGCCTTGTTAGTCGACTACCTTACCGATCCGTCTGCTGCCCCTTCCACGAGAGCACTACGCCGGCAAGCAGCCCACTTTTCCTTACGAGACAACATTCTGTACGGCCGCAACTACATGCCTGGTGGTCGGAAGTGGCTCCTTGCTGTCCCAACTCATAAGCGCTCTGAAATCTGCATGAATTTCCATGCAGATCCCCAAAGTGCTCACGCAGGTGTCCTGAAAACGTACGAAAGGCTGCGCCAACGATATTACTGGCGAGGAATGTATCGCTTTGTGCGGAAATACGCTCAGTCTTGCACCACTTGCCAACAGAACAAGACACCTCCATGGCACCTTACTGGCATGTTACAGCCACTCCCGTGCCCAGCTCGCCCATTCGACCGCGTGGGTATTGACCTTTATGGCCCCCTCCCATATAGTGGCTCTAGAAACCGGTGTATTTTTGTCGGCGTCGATCATCTGACACGCTACGCTGAGACTGCAGCTCTACCGGCAGAGACCGCCCCCGAAGTTGCACTCTTCATTCACCGCAGCTTCATTCTACGCCATGGTGCTCCGCGGGAATTACTGAGTGATAGAGGTGGAGTGTTCTTGTCGCAGGTCATCCAAGCTATCCTCGCTG